CAGCCCTACTTTTACACCACATTCCAGCACACTGAACTGTTTGCCACTCCTCAGACTAGTTCATCTGGAAATTTACACGTAATCCATGATGCTCAGAAAGCAATTTCTCTCCATTTAGATATCAACCCCCTAGCCCAGCTGGTTCTTGCTGCTTGCACAAACTTTTGTGCCCATCCCCACTGGCCTTTATCTCTCTGTGCCGTAATTTTTTATGTCTATCCTTTCCACAAAACGGCTTGTTCTTTAAGGATGGGAACCCTTTCTTCTTCATTTTTGTAGCCACAGCTCTAGCACAGTGCTGGTGTTTTTTATGCTCTTAATGATTGCTAAATAACAGTAACTCACATACTTTTAAACATCCTTTCAAAGGAAAATAAAAACATTTTTCAAGAGAATTTAACCATATGAGGAATGTGTCACCATTTAAGTGACACAAATAATGATTAACTTTCATAAACTCAACTACTACTACTGAATCCTAGTTCTTCTTTGCTCCACTAGACAGATCCTCTGACTCCCCACACAGGCATGACTCAGCCTAACGTCCACACAAACCTCCCCAGCTAAGCACCTGCTCATGACCATTACCTGCCCAGAAGCACTGGGTGACACCCTATTGCACACTCAGACTGGATTCCACAGCATCTGCTTTGAGATCAAGTACTCCACCCAGCTGCGGCCAACTGTGAACAAACCTTTGTTACCTGGCAATCTCCTGATGGTAATCATAGTGCTCATCTTCCTCCAGCCATTCCACAGATCCCGTGGTTGGATTGGCCCGCCCACAGAAGATCTTCATGGTGCCAATCAGCTCCTTAGTTTTATCACTTGCCAGCTCACTTCTTGTGGACAAATAAGATGGTCAGAAATCTATTTACATCATAATACCCAAGAATGTAGAGAAAAAAAATGTTAAAAGACATGAAAACAAAACAGGGGAATCAATAAATTGACAAACATGTCAAAGCTACTGAAAATATTTGTTAATCAGTATTTTCATTTTCACAGCAAGAGTTACTTGGTTTTATATTCCACATATAACATCAAAAATTATAATACATAAATTCATAAAGCTATGTGGAAACTTCAGTAGTCTTCAGTGATTCCAACAGGGTCAAATGAGCCTCAAAGGTACATCTGGGCATAGCTTCAGGTAAAGGCAGGTGAGAAAGGAAATAAAGCAGAGGAACAGGCTAGTAGGAAAGAACAAAAAGAGACTGGAGTGGTGGTAAAGGAGTGCTACCAATACTACCTAAGGATACTAAAAACTGAGTTTAAGAAAAAAGCCCTGGCTGGTTTGGCTCAGCGGTTAGAGCGTCAGCCTGCGGTCCAGAGAGACCCGGTTTCAGTTCCCGCTAAGGGTTTGTACCTTGGTTGAGGTTTGTCCCCGGCCCTGGTTGGTCGTGCAGGTGGCAGCCACTCAATGTGTCCCTTTCACAACGATGTTTCTCTCTCTCTCTCTCTCTCTCTCTCTCTCCCTCCCTCCCTCCCTCCCTCCTACTCTATCTGAACAAAAAATGGAAAAATGTCCTCGGGTGAGAATAAAAAAGAAAAAATACAAAGATTGAACAATTCAAACAAATTAGGAAAATCTTCACCTAAACAAGTCATAACTATACAAAAACATGGATAATCCCAGAAATATAATGTTGAGCCATAAAAAGAAAGTAAATCACAGAATATATCTAATGTTATATTTATATAAAATCTATAATTATGCAAAACAGAACAATACATTCTTCAGGGATCACACTAAAACATATAGCAGGAAATAAGATACTGATTACCTCTAAGAGGGAAGGGAAAAGGATGATCCAGATCAAGGAGGACCATACAGGGGACTTCAAAAGTAATTATATTATTCTTTTTCTAAAACTGGGTGGTGGGGCCCAGCAGGTGTGGCTCAGTGGTTGAGCATCAACCCATGTACCAAGAGGTCACTGGTTTGATTCTTGGTCAGGGCACATGCCCAGGTTGTGGGCCCGATCCCCAGTGTGGGGCATGCAGGCAGCCAATCACTGTTCTTTCTCAACAATGTCTTTCTCTCCCTCTCCCTTCCTCTCTCTCTAAAATCAATAAAGGAAGGGAAAAAAGGCTGGGTGGTGGGAACACAAGTGTCCATGATACTGTCATTCTTTATGTTTCGCTATTTAATAATAATTTCTTATCTACTCAATATTTAACTTTAAAGGCAATTTTCAAAAACCCTTCAGCCCTGCTGGTATGGCTCAGTGGTCGAGCATGGATCCATACACCAGGAGGTCGCCAGTTCAATTCCTGGTCAGGGTACATGCCCAGGTTGTGGACCAAATCGGGGGGAGGCCTGCAGGAGGCAGCCAATTGATGTTCTCTCATTGATGTTTCTATCTCTCTCTCCTTTCCTCTAAAACCAATAAACAAAAAAAATACCTTTCTTCATATAAAAATATTTGCTGCAAATAAATAAAATATCATCAGACAGATAAAATGTCTTATATGGTATTTTACCTCAAAGATATCTACTTCTGAGAGACAAAGGAACACCACAGCTCAAAGTTTGAAGGCACTTCTCAGCAGTAACAGGCTCTCCCAATGCCCTCCCTCTTACCATTCAGAAAATAGCAAGTGTGCCACACTCCCCTTTATTTCTTGTTAAACACTGATCCATCTTCAGGAAACCTGATTATTTTTTGTGGAGGAAGTCCCCGAAATATTCCTGAGGCATTTTATTGGCCAGAGTTTTTTACTTTCTCTTGAAATTATCTAGACTAAGTAAATACTGAATTCTTATACAAGCGGATGGGAAATACTCTTTTCTGAGAAGACTCAAGCAGTCACTACCTTGATTCAAAGTAGTCAATCTGTCTTGGGGCAAAACTCTACTTCTAAAATCCCAGCATATCTACTCTTAATCTAGGGGCTCTCAAACATCCTGACAACCCCAGTAATACACACACACTCACATGAAACAAAGTTTCACAAAACAGTACATATTTAGCCTTGCTATGGGTAAGGCCCTCTCATATATTTCATCCTTTTTTTTTTTTTTAATCCTCATGCGAGGATATTTTTCTATTTTTTTGTACAGATAGAGTGGGAGGGAGAGAGAGGAAGGGAGAGAGAGAGAAACATCGACGTGAAGGGACACATTGAGTGGCTGCCACCCGCACGACCAACCAGGGCCGGGGACAAACTGCAACCGAAGTACGTGCCCTTAGCGGGAACCGAACCCCAGCCTCTCCGGACCGCAGGCCAACGCTCTAACCGCTGAGCCAAACTGGCCAGGGCTATTTCATCCTATTTTAATTTTATTTTTTAGTAGACCATGATCCACTAAATTGATTTCATAACTCACCAATGGTTTGCAACCTAGTTTGAAAACTATTACTAAAATCAGCTCTGTACATCTCACATGGTAACATTTCTTTTAGAAAGACAGAGTATCTAGAACTACCAGTATCTGTAATGTGCTTTAGAAATCTGTGTCCAACAAATGCTGAAGTAGAAAGAAATGACCACAACTCACTCAATGTTCAGGGAAGTCCTAAAAGATGGACATTATTTGGGTGGGCATGGGGAAAGGGCACTTCACCACATAAGAAAGGCTTAGACAGCCCTGGCTAGTTTAGTTCAGCTGTGCTGACATGTTCATAACCCCATAATTGATGATAGGTAAATTGTTGTGCTAACTTGTTTATAGCTCCATAATTGATGATTGGGAGTCACTGTGCACCCTCTAGCTGAACCTGTTTTGTAAAAAATGTAATCAACAGGATAGAGATCAAAACAACCTCAGTAAATTGGAAGATTCCCTGAACCAAGAAATTGTTGGGAGCCGGCTATGTGTCTGACAGAGCCCATGGAGCCTGGAGGTCTGGAGTCAGAGACTCAGCCTTCCCCACAATTTCAGAGAATTAGGCTTGCATTGTGTTTGTGCAGCTCGAGGCCATGTGTGACCCAATGTACCCTGAAATACCTGGGTATGCCTGGATGTTCCCGTTATCCGCAAGGAAAACTAATTCTATACAGCACTGTTGTAGCCCTGGGCATTATATCAAGAAGATACTACTTTCTTGTATCATTAAACTTTTGCCGTAAGGTATAAATGGCATGTAATAAAGCATATCAGGCTGATCTCCGAAGACTCTGTCACAGCAGTGTTCAGAATCAGACACCAGCCAGCTAATAAACGGCTCTTATTTGGACTTCGATGCTCTAGTGGTCTTTCTTTGACTCTGTTGCGCCACCATACAGCGATTAGAGCATAGGTCTATGACCAGAGAGTTGCAGGTTCAATTCCCGGTCAAGGGCACAGACCCCGGGTTGCAGGTTCAATCCCCAGCCCTAGTTGGGATCATGCAGGAGGCAACCAATCCATGTGTCTCTCACATCGTTGTTTCTCTCTCCCTCCCTCCTTCCCTTCCACTCCAAAAATCAATGGAAAAATATCCTCAGGTGAGGAAGAAAAGAAGGAAGAAAGGAAGGAAGGAAGAAGTTCTTAAGACTATCATGCACAGTGGATAAATCAGTCTAACTGAAGTGAAACTGAACATGGAGTCAAACAAGTTGGTGGGGTCCATATTGTGCAGGGTCTAGAAACTCTTATGCGAAGGAACTCCTTTATTGTCCCTAATGTTGCTGAGGCTATAACTAGGATCACAGTGTCTTTTCAGAACTGTAAAGACGTCACTGGTTTCATATTAATCTAAACGAATGCTTAAGGGGAACCATGTCCTGTAACCTCTCTGGGTGAGGCACTATACACCTTCTATGGATAAATCACCTCATCTATTATATTACGACGTGTCCTCTCCCAAAATGAGATCACACTCCAGATTCAAGAGATAGTCTGACCCCCTCCTGATTCTCCAAAGGTTGTCAACTAATATGGTCACTTACACCATGGAAACCACCATGCCAAACCCTATCGCTAAGGAGAGATTGTACGTCCTATCAACCAGTTCACTGCGTAAGTGCCCCACCCACGGGCCCAGCAAGCGGCAATCACCAGGGAGGATGACAGAGCCGGGCCCCGCCTGGAATCCCGCTTTCCCGCCGGCCCAGGCACTCCGAGCCGCCCTATGCAGACTCTACAAAGGTCCTTCAGGGTCCCGCAGAGGTGCGTACCCTGGCGTCCGAGAATGCTCACACTAAGCCCTGCCGCCGGATCCCTGGAACTGAAAATAGGATGCTGGCTGCTTCCGGAACTCCAAAAGTGACCCCACCTACCCAATATGCTCAGCGCCTCACCGGTCGTGGGTACCGCTCAGTTCATTTCCGACGCCACCGCCACATTGCCGCGGCCGGCGTGAGGGGGTTGGACCTTCCTATCTCGTCTGAGCGGGGCGGGACCCGGAAGTAGAACCTAAAGGCTCTCCGTCACACCCCACGCAGTTCCCACAGTGCTCCGCGACAGTCGCCATGGAGGTTGGCCACACAGCTGTGCTCCGCGTGAAGCGGAAGCGGAATGCGGAGCCCGCCGAGGCTCTTGTCCTAGCTTGTAAACGCCGCCGGAACGATGCAGTGGAGTCGGCAGCCCAAAAGACTCCCCCCGAGGGTCTGCAGAGAGCAGCAGAGAATAATGTCTTCCAGTTAGTGGCTACCGTGCGCTCCCAGGTATTGGGCGGGGATGGAGCCAGACTGGAAGGGATCTTAGTGTGCAGCTAGGATGAAACTGTATCCCTGATCCCTACATGAACCCATACTTACACGGGTCCCCCTCCCCTACTGCTCTTCAGGAGGAGCCGGTCCAGCCGCTCTTGCGGGCCGCTTTGCGCCCATCCTGGGGCAGCCAGCAGCGTATCCGCCGCGACCTCCGCGCGTCGGCTCGGGAGATCCGGCAGGAGGGCCGCTACAGGGTGGTCTCTAGCCTTCGATCCTCCTCGGGAATTACCTCAGATGGCTTGGAGTCCGAGGACGTGCGGGGAAACCCAGAAGCCAACGATGACGCAGGCTTCCAGCTGTTGGATCTGGTCCACGAAGGAGGAGACCCAGAGGTGGCTGCTGCTGCCGGGTCCTGCAAAGTGAGTACATGCCGGAAGGAGAGCTGGGTATCTCCACACAGGTAGTGCTAGGAATCTGGGCGCTAAGTCAGCATAGAGTTAAGATGAGTACGGCTTCACGTTTTATTAATGGGTGATACCTCCGGCCTCATTTTTACAGATTAGGTTATCCATTCAACAAGTATGTACTGAGTCCACTGTGTGCCAGGCATTGAGGACCTAACATTCAGATAGAGGAGAGAAACGAACAAGTAAATTCAGTGTCAGATAGTGATATGGGCTGGGGCGGGGCAAGAAAAGAGTGGTTCCATTTCAGAGGTCTCACTGAAAAAAAGTGACATTTGTGTGAAGACTTAAAGGAGGTGAATGCCAGGGCATTGTGGATAGCTTGGGGATGGGCATTCCAGGCTGAGGACCTGGCAAGCACAAAGGCACTGAAACCAGGTTTGTCTGATGTTTTCAAGGTCAGTGTGCCTGGAGCCCAGTGTACTGGGGGAGAAGAGTAATAAGGAACTTGGGGGAAAGATGTCTGTTTACTAGACCCCGTAGGTACTTCAAGGACCCATTGCCTTTCATCCTGAAATAGGGAATTATTGGAGAATTTTGAGCAAGGTAAAGATAGAGCAAATGGGAAAATTCATCAGAGGGAGGCTAAAGGACTAGTCTTGGGTAGCATATCAAGTCTGAGACAGATCTAAAATGCACACTTAATCCAGTTTCCTTTCCACTACCCTACATTTTTTTAAATTTTATTTTGGTACATGCCCCTAGCGGCAACTGAACCGGGGACTCTCTGGTCCGCAGGCCAAAGCTCCAACTGCTGAGCCAAACTGGCCAGGGCATCCACTACCCTACATTTAATATGTTTGTTTTGTACCTTACTTTAAGTTTAAAAAATGAAATTTTAATTCAAAATACATCAGGCAAAACACATTTAATCATGGTGCTAGTATACCTGAATAGCAATTTGAGCATGATGTCTATAGCCACATCTTTTACCTAAACTAATTCCAGAGTGATTCATGATTTCACAGTCAGATAATATTTAAAAGTAAACCAATGTTCGATGGAATCAAATCAATTAAATAGCTCGATTTTATAAGAAAAACTAGTAGATAAACTGAAGGATGTGAACACAAGTTTTCCCAACAATGCAATACAAACTGTACACATCACAAATGTTTGCAGGGTAATTATTTTAAAAACATGAATTTAAGCTGAAAGCAAGCTTGAGGTTTTATGTCTACTAGGATTAGCCGAGAAAAGGTTGCTGATAGCACTGCTGGCAAGGCTCTGATTTAAATGGTACATGACTGTGTGCTTAAAATTGATGCCAGTCTTTTGGAAAACAGCATGGCTAAAAATAGCTTGGGGCCTATTTTAAAACCACTTAAATTTATTTTTATTGTTTGGACCCTAAAGCCATCCAAAATTCTAAATAAATTTAAAAATTAATGATAGCATTCCAATGCCACATTACAATGGGTTTTTCCTTAAATTGACACCATTTAAGTTTTAAGCAAATAAAGTACTCCTTAATAGGAAATCTTAAAAAGGGAAAAGGTTTGATTCATTTTATTTAGTAATCTCACCCTCAGGATTTAGCTTAGGGAAATAATTCAGCAGAAGCAAACAGTTGTAGTATTAACAAAGCTACTGTTGGTTTACTAAATAATTACTATATGTTAAGTATAGTACTTGTTATATTTTCTTTTAATTTAGCTCATTTAATCCTCACAAAAACCCTACAAGGTAGGTACTTTAATCTCCGTTTTCAAATGCAGGAAAATACACATTTATTGCAATATTGTACATGGATGCTAAAAATTATGTCTGAGAAACTGACTACACAACTGCCTGAACCTTTAAATTAATAACCATCAAGACTGGCAAGATGAGAAAGTATATATATAATGGTTGAAAATGCTATACGTAGTATAATCGATATGGGTAAGCATACACAGACTAGACTTAAAAATAATTTATTTTATGAACATAATGTGTTTATTAAAGGAAATTCAAAAATATATATATAGCAAAGGAATATGGCTGCATAATCTACTGGAGTGAGGGCTGGGGATTTGTGAGCAGGAGCCAGAGCTTTCCTTATAAACAGGTTGGTTTGAGGTTGGTTAAGAGTCTGCACAAAAACTGACATCTCTAGCTCCTTTTGACTTTGGAGCAAAGAATTAATTTCCTTTCCCTTTCTCTGCCTGGCCATGGTACACCCCTACCTCCCCGTATGTTGAGTTGCACAGCCTCCTGTGATGAACCCGTCTAGGTCATTTGCAGCATGTCCCCTTGGTTTCCAAATTGACCTGTGCCACCCTGAACAACACTGCCTGTTGGACCTGGGGTATATCTTACCTGGGCCAATTCCCATCTGGGTCAGTCCATCTTGAGCTATTCTTTCTAGCAGGAAAAGGATCGTAGGGCACTCCACTCCTGGTTGTGTTTAAAAGCAGGATGTCACCCAGCCAGTGGGGCTCAGTGGATTGAGCATCTTCCCATGGACTGAGAGGTCCCAGTTCAATTCCCAGTCAAGGCACTTGCCTGGGTTTTGGCCTCGATCCCCAGTAGGGGGTGGCAGGAGGCAGCCAATCGATGTCTCTCTCTCTCTCTCTCTCACCTCAAAGTTTCTTTCTCTCCCTCCTCTCTCTAAAAAATTAATAAAAACATTTTTTTATTTATTTTTAATCCTCACCCAAGGATATTTTTTACATTTATTTCAGAGGGAAAGAGAGAGAAACATTGATGTGAGAGAGAGACATCGATTGGTTGCCACCCGCACAACCCCAACCAGGGCCAGGGATGAACCGCAACCAAGGTATGTGCCCTTGACTGGAATCGAACCCAGGACTCCCTGGTCCGCAGACCGACACTAACCACTGAGCAAAACCAGCCAGGGCAATAAAAATGTATTTAATAAGTAAATAAGCCCTGGCCGGTTTGGCTCACTGGTTGGAGCGTCGGCAGGCTGACTAGAAGATCCTGGGTTCGGTTCCCGCTAGGGGCACATACCAAAAAAGAAAAAAGTAAATAAATAAAAGCAGGATGTCAGTGTGAGCAAGTTAAGTGGTGGGTGATGGCTATGCTGGTAGTAGTCATCAGAGCCCAGGAATTGCCCTTGGGTCCCTATAGGAGGCCATACAAAATGCAGGCCCATTTATGCGTCAACTATAAAAGTGCTACTATGGACCTACAGATTCCCAAAGGGAGAATATTATACTAATGGAGCTCAGGAAGACAGAGGAAAGACTCAACAGCTCTGCTGGCTCCTCCCTTCTCCTTAGGCCCATCTTCACACACAGGTCTTCACATATGCTCTTGCATCAGCCAAGCACAAAAGAATAGGAGTCTGTTGTAAGTTTCTATCTTAAAAGAACTGCACATTAATTTTTTTAGAGATCCTTGGTTTTTTAATCTCATAACTAATTAAGAAGAAACTAGTAGGCCATGGGGATAAGACTACTGAGTCTAACATAGATAACTGTAGGGAGGCTTCCTTCACCCAACTCCTAGGTTCCTTTTCTTTGAACATCCATGTTTAATCTCATGCATTAATTATTTGCTGGGTTTTTTTTATAGGTATCTGACCCAAATGTGATCCTCTGCAATTCTGTAGAGTTGATCCGTGAGCGGTTGACTATATCTGAGGATGGGCCAAGCATCAGGCACTGGGAGGAACAGAATGACTACGTTTATGACATTTACTACTTGGAGACGGCCACTCCAGGGTGGATTGAGAATATCCTCTCTGTGCAGCCCTACAGCCAGGAATGGGAGCTGGTAAGGAGACCCATGAGGATGACGGGGCATGAGGCAACCTAAGTGATTCTCTAGCCTGGGTATTTTGCCTCCTTAGGCTCTAATCCTAATCAACATTGTTCTTGCTTAAAAGGAAAAATTTATTCTAGATGCTTTCTAGGAACCTGGGTTTAATGCAGGAAAATTTGGGAGTCTACAATGTAGACTCTACGTGTATAATTTTTGCTCTTAATGAATCTTTTTTTTTTTTTCGTGGTACGTGCCCCTAGTAGAAACCGAACCCAGGACTCTCTGGTCCGCAGGCCAACGCTCAACCGCTGAGCCAAACTGGCCAGGGCTGCTCTTAATGAATCTTTTACAGGTTTGTGACATCATCTTTATCGTTTATACCTACCCACTCTTTGGGGGAAATGTATGAGGGCTTTTAATAAAATAAAACCAGAAATTTTGCCCGGCCATTGTGGCTTTGTGATTGAGTGTCAGCCCATGCACCGAGAAGTAGCTGGTTTGATTTCTGATCAGGGATCACGCCCAGGTTGTGGGACAAATCCCTAGTGGGGAGCATGCAGGAGGCAGCCAGTCCATATTCTCTCCCATCGATGTTTCTCTCTCTCTCTCTCTAAAGTCAATAAAGAAAAAATACAGAAATTTTAATAGAGAGAACAAAACCTTTTTTTTTTTTAATTTTATCTTATAAGGGGGGAAATCTTGGATTAAGAAAGCTAACTTCCATTTTGTTTTAAAAACTAACTTCCCGCCCTGGCCAGTTTGGCTCAGCGGTTAGAGCATTGGCCTGTGGTCCGGAGAGACCCAGGTTCGGTTCCCGCTAAGGGCATGGACCTCGGTTGCAGTTTGTCCCTGGCCCTGGTTGGGTCGTGCGGATGGTGACCACTTTATGTGTCCCTTTCACGTCGATGTTTCTCTCTCTCTCTTCCTCTCTTTCCCTCCCGCTCTATCTGAACAAAGAATGGAAAAATGTCCTCTGGTGAGGATAAAAAAAAACTAACTTCCCAACAATCATTTTTTTGTTGTTGAAAGAATTAACAGATGTCCCCTCTTTTTCCCCTATTGACTCCTCCTCTCCCCTTCCACCCACCTCATCTTTTCCCCAAACTAATGTCTGTGTTCACTGGTTGTGCATATATACATATAAGTTCTTTGCTTTATCTCTTCCCACCCCAAGTCCCCATCCCTATACTTCCATAACTCTGGATGTCTTTTGATTAACAGCTTATTTTGTTGATGATAATCCATAAATGAGTGAGATCATGTGGTACTTGTCTTTCTCTGGCTGGCTTATTTCGCTCAGTATAATACTCTCTAGGTCGCTCCATATTGTCTCAAAGAGTAAGAGATCTTTCTTTCTTACAGCTGCATAGTATTACATTGTGTAAATGTACCACAGCTTTTTTATCCACTCATCTACTGATGACACCTGGGTTGTTTCTAAATCTTAGCTATTGTAAATAGCACTGCTATGAACATAGGGATGTATGTATTCTTTCTGAGTGGTGTTCCAGGCTTCCATTCCATTTTTAATTTTTTGAGGAAGCATCATATTGTTTTCCATAGTGGCTGCACCAGTCTGCATTCATATCAGCAGTATACTAGAGTCCCCTTTTCTCCACATCCTCACCAGCACTTGTTTGAAAAGACAATAATCTTGAAAACAAACTCTAAAATGATTAATGAGACAAGTTAAGGTGGTGCCTATCACACTCACAAAAAAAGCACTTTATTCCACACCTACACTACCACCATAATCTGAGGCAGGCACTCACCTTGGACCACACATAGGCCCTCCTTTAACCTTCCTGCATCCCTCACACTTGGGTTTTGGTTCTGATCTTTGGCATTACCCATAGTCCTCCCACCTGGCTGCCCTTCAGCAATTTAAAGATCACTGCTGTCACCTGCTCAGAGCTGTCTCTCTTCCCCATCCTGGGGTGTTCCTTTTTAGTGGAGTTCAGTCTATACCACCAGGAATGTGGTGCCTGGAGCTGGACTTGAGTGGAGTAGGGCCAGCACCGGAGTCAAACTGACTCCAAGGCTGCCTCTTTTTTGTACAGCACCCTTAAATGACATCTCTTTGATTGGTTTGCTATTAGCTTCCCCCAGACCATAACTTTAGGTGTTTTGACTTATGCTCTTGTGTTGAGATGTGCAGGTGAATGATGACCAACAACCGGGGGACATTTATGAAGATGAAGATGATGAGAATAGTGAAAATAATTGGCGCAATGAGTACCCAGAGGAGGAGAGCAGTGATAGAGATGAAGATTCCAGAGGTAGGTGGATGACAGCCCTGGATGGGGTGGGAATACTGGGATCCAAGACTGAGGCATGAGCACAGTTGACAGGTCCATCCTAACTAGCTTTCCTTCTCTTCCACTGAACTCCAGTAGCTCAACCACAGCTGTTGGAGCTATAGGAGACCCACAGACCACTGTTTCCAGGGGTGTTACTAGAGGTGAGATGTCAGTCAGGTGTGGTTTTAAGTCTTTAGTTCTGTCGTTGCCTAGCTATGGGTCTTGGGCAAGTTATTTCACCTCATTGAGACTTATTTTCTTTATAGAAAATGAGAATATTGCACCAACTTGTGAAACATTTAGTTCTCTGTCCCTTTCCCTGCTTCAGTCTAAGAAAGTAATGGAGAGGTTCTAAGTGCCAACAAAAAGAATTTGTGTCTGTTAATGGAGTAAATTAAACTATGGAATATTCTGTTGGGAAAGTGCCTATGTTACAAGGGGCAGTGTTCAATGTTATATTTACAACATGACTACAACTATTATAACAAAAAATCCTTTACTTAGGGGAGAAATGATAGAATGTTCCAATGTTAAGATAATGGTTTAGGCCCTGGCTGGTTTGGCTCAGCAGTTAGAGCATCAGCCTGCGGACCAGAGAGTCCCGGGTTCGGTTTCCGCTAAGGGCACGTACCTCGGTTGCAGTCTATCCCCAGCCCCGGTTGGGGTCGTGTGGGTGGCAGCCACTCGATGTGTCTTTCTCACATCGATGTTCCTCTCTTTCTTCCTCCCTCGCTCTCTCCCTCTGTATCTGAAGATAAATGCAAAAATGTCCTCGGGTGAGGATTAAAAAGAAAAAAAAGCCCTGGCCGGTTTGGCTCAGCGGTTAGAGTGTCGGCCTGCGGTCCGGAGAGACCCGGGTTCGGTTCCCGCTAAGGGCGCGTACCTCGGTTGCAGTTTGTCCCCAGCCCTGGTCAGTCGTGCGGGTGGCAGCCACTCGATGTGTTCCTTTCGCATCGATGTTTCTCTCTCTCCTTCTGTTCCCCTCTCTCCCTCCCACTCTACCTGAACAAAAAATGGAAAAATGTCCTCCGGTGAGGATTAAAAAGAAAAGAAAAAAAAAGATAATAGGTTTAGATGGTAGGAATGTGATTTTTTAAAAAATGTTCTAAATTCTCTTTGTTGAACAAGTATTTTTAAATGGTGAACAACAACAAACACACACACACACAAAACAGACCGTTTTAGCAGGGAAAGAACTCTCACAGTCACCTAAAGAAGTCATGCACTTGGAGTCCATTCCTGTTATTTCATTCTAGGCTCTGATGAATCCAGTAGCCTCAGTGAAGAGGAGAGAGGCAACAGCAGACTACAGATGTGGAGCAAGTACCCTTTGGATGTGCAGAAGGAGTTTGGCTATGACAGCCCTCATGACCTGGATTCAGATTGAGGATCCTGTGATAACCATGAGGTTCTATCACAGGCCCTTGAGGGCTCTGACTGCAGCATGAGCCAACCTGGTAATGGGTTTCCTGACATAACAGAAGGAAAAAGCACATCCAACAGCACCATCCTGTCAATGAAAACTTGTGCTGAAGGAGTGTGTCTTTCCCACTAATAGTAGGGCCCCTTTGCCTCAATCAAAAGTGACCCTACAGTTTGGGGGACATTTGGGGGGGGGGGAAGGCCATAAAAATGAAGCTTCCTGGCCTAAGCATTTTACTGCTCTTCTACGCTGAAGCCAGTAAGTGGAGGAGAGGATCCTGTTTTATCAGAGCTAAGGTTCAGCTTTCCCATACCACCAGGATGCCTCCAGTAAAAATCTGTTCTTTTGACAAGGGGAATCTAGAAGGGCTACATTGGGTCCCTTGTAGCAGCACAGACTGCATAGTATTGACCATTAGGAAAAGTAGTAGAATCTGCCCGTGCTGTGGGGAGTTTTAGTTAACAATTGTCTCTACCTCCCTGCTTCCTATGATAATGATTATAAACACTGCTGTCTTGAGCAGTGGTGCCAAGGAATAGGGTGTGTGTGAATGTGCATTTAGTAAAAACACTTTAAATATGGGAGCAAGTAAGTCCTTTAAAATCTTTTAAATCTGAATATATTAGGTGTTTACCCATTGTGCTCCCTCTCCTCTCCCTGCCCCCCACCAAAAATGGGGGAGTTAGTGAGATAGAAGTTTCAGAATTGACCTTTAAATTAGGAAAGGACTTAAGGCAAATTAGGAAAAGGAAAACCCATCCTGAACTTAGTTTTCCATTGAGAAATGTTTATATATTCACAGCACTCACCAAAAACTATCAATAAGACCAATTTTTTCCACCAGAATTTATATCTCTTTCCCTGCCCCTTCCAAACCACAGATGCCTTAACTCTGACTGAGTTAGCATTTAGTCTTCTAATGTAACATTGTTCCGTAGAACTTTCTCCAAAGACTAATATGTTCTATGCATGCACTGTGCATTAGTAGCCATTAGCCTCATGTGGCTGAGCACTTTTTTTTTTTCTTTATTGATTTTAGAGATAGAAACATTGATGAGAGAAATTTATGATTGGCCGCTTCCTGCATGCCCCCCACTGGGGATTTGGCCCATAACCTGGGCATGTGACCTGACTGGGAATTGAAACGGCGACCTCTTGGTGCATGGGTCGATGCTCAACCACTGAGCCACACCAACCGGGCTGGCTGAGCACTTTTAATGTGATTGGTGTGACTGAGGAATTGAAATTTATTTAATTTTAACTATCTACAGTACTGGACAGTGCAGTTCTAGGGTAGTCAAACATAGAACCTTCTATTTAGGATGTTCCCTCTTGCCCCATTGCACAGATTATCACGTGGGAAGGTGAGTTACACAGGGATGTGTCTTCCCACCTTTTTACTTTTTCCATCCTGCCTTCACTCATTCTTTCACTCTATGTTCATTTTGCAAGTCTTTATCTACATTAGTTCCTATCTACATGGAGTTAAACCTGCCAAAATGATTGAATTGTATGTGTACGTGTACTCAGGCTCTACTATTGTGGCTGTAAAACCAACACACTATGGTTCCCCACTCTTAACTATCCACAAAAGTACAATTCAGTGTTGCAAGTAACAGGCAGCAGCAACTTAAGTCTCCAGTAGGTGTAGAAACAAATGATTAAAAACCACTCTGAACCATTATAATGTGCTCACTGTTATTTATGTGCTCATTAAAGTTTGCCAACATTAAAGGGCTGACAACTTCATAAACTGTAAAAGGGATTAGCAAACCAGGAGGACTGAGGTTAATGAACAGAAACCTCATGGAGATTAATTCCACCACAAAGCTTGAGTGGAGGGAATCTCTGGCTTCCCTCCCACAGGAGGGTTCCTAGGAAGTCTGTATGCAGCACAGAGGGGAAGAATGCAGTCACCATCCAATAATGAGGATGACATGGCTCACTAAGCGAGTGTTAGGGCACCTGGGGTATGAGGCTCTTGTTTCCCCCAGGAGCCACAGGGGAACAGCAAGTTCCTGGGATTAGCTGGTCATTTGCTTGTGTGGATAAAGTTAAAGCCTGGCTCAGGGATCCTCAAGACAAACGTACTCTCCTTAAAGGATTAGCTCTAGAGGATCCCTGGAACCAGGTGCCAGCTTGGCTCAGACAGGAGACATGTTTATATAGTCTAGGCAAGACTCCCTGTTGTAACAGGAATTTGCTGTACACACCCCCAACCCATGATAGTAGGAATGTCCGTCCCCCTGTTCTCACAGGTGCTTGCCCTGAACCTAAAGGAAATTGTGAGCATGCTCCCCTAAATTATTTTTATTGAACAAGTATGACCAAGGTTACCTCTTTGTCTTGAGGTGGGCAGGTTTGGTGGAGAAAAATGGTCAGAAAGGGAGATTGCCTCATATAGTTCTTGCCTTTACCATTGATTAATTCCAAAACCTAAGGATAAGAAGCCCACAGGGTGTGCCAAGCCAGCAGGTTCTTCTGGGCCCAGGATGACTGGGTCTGAGGTCATTATAGGACAGTTGTACAATCCCATGCAGCCATGCTGCCTATGAAGGAGCATCCATTAGGCCAAACCTACTGCTGTGGCCTGACCTGGGTGCTAAGGAGCAGCATGAGCACCAGAATTAGTTGTTTCCAATCGTGCAGTCTGCTGAGGAGCCAGATTGAGGTTAAAGTAGCTTTTTTCCCAGAGTCTTCACTGATCTCCACAGGGAAAAAGAAGTCCCCCTGAGTACCAAGGTCTTCCTGAGACTGAAGCCCCACCAGACCTCACACCAGGAGGCAGGCAGGAGAGGAGTGCACTATCCTGAGCCACCAAGGTGGCTCAGTGTAAACAAAGCCTGGTGTTGGGGACAGAAGAGGAGGATGCAGCCTGGTGTGAGGTTTTCAGAAAAAGAAAATGACCACGTCTAGCACCAAGGTGGGCTTACACAGCAGTCCCTCACACTGACCCTTTCGGAGAAGAGCAAGCTATTTGGTGCCACTGACAGCTGCAAGAATTCAGGTGATCCACCTGAACTCTAGAAGTTTCTGTCCCCTTAAAGTTCATACCAGAAACCCAGAGATTTTCTTTTATCAACTAGAACAAAGACAAGGTCTCAAGTAAAATAAAGGATTATCCTTCAAAATAGCATGAATTTGTTCATTTGTCCTTGCTGAACTTGAACCAGGTGTGTGACCTATCTATATATTAAAGTGTAACAGGTACAGAAGTAAAAAAAAAAAATCAAGTTCACCTTTGCAGGTAAGACTCAATAAATAGAACATCGTGCTAAAACCAAGCAAAAATAATCTGTGGTCAGAGACTGACCCACCACCACATAGAGACACCTCTAAGGACAGAGGGACTTGGCTTTGGGTGCTTTGAATTTATAAACAGCCTATTGCATCCTTGATGAATACTTGGCAAGAACTGGTGTTCTGGATTAAATAATATCAATAAATAATAGAATACAACCGTCTCCTCAGGGAAGGATTTTGAACCAAAGGAAGAAATGGTATTTTTAAGCCTGTAAAGTGAGGTGCCTGGACCTGGTCAGAGGAAAACTTCCCATAAAAGCAGCCCCTTTGTATAGACTCTTGGTTCAAACCTCAAATGTCAAATTCAGAAACCACCAGCCACAGCTATTAACCTAGCTAGCACTCCCTCTTCCCCCAGTGCAACTCACCAAGTATAAGGGCTGCACCCACCCACCAGCAACAAAACAACCACTCCTAAGCCCCTTGCCCCCCTCCCCTGCAATCACCCCCTGGCATCCCCACCTTCAGGCTGGTCTCAGACTCTGAGTCTGCTCCCATAGCTTACCAATGAGAGTGACTGCCTAAGGAGGCCGTAAGCCCTCAGCCCCTTATGTAATGTAGGCCAACAGTCTCCTTTAGTACAGAGGGTTGAGCCCACACAGTCTTGTCATCCGGACTTTGGTAGCTGTGGTCACAGGTAGCCAACCTTCCAAGCCTCAGGGGACTTCACCTCTGGCCTCTAGTCAGTTTTCCTCTCAACCTTTCTCTCTTCAGCTACATCTAGCTCAGTCAGGACACAAAAGCAAATCTGCTGGGTAACTCTGGTGACAGCAGCTAAATGAAAAAAGAAGAGAATTTAGTAAACACTTTCAGTTACAACCCCAATCAACACCATAAAGCTGGTTAAAGCTCATCTGTGGCTCTCTACCCATCTCTCCCTTGGGTACCCTGTGCCAGGCTTTGTCCCTCACCCCCAACAAGCTTCAACATCCCCAGTCCTAAGCCCAGACAGACTCATCTTTCCATGTAGATTGCACTTTCAAGAGGTAGTGTTTTAGCCCCAAAGATAGAACTGAAGTGATCATATCAAGATCCAAAGGGAAGAAGTTATATGGGGCAGTCAGGTCTCATGGCCTCCAGCACCTCACTAGTATGGAGGAAGCCAGCCACCACTCCCACCTCCCCGTGCATCTGAACACACACATGCCTGCATGCACATCTAGTGCATTATGGGCAAAGAGAAGCTCACCCAAGATATTCCGAATAAAGAGTGGCCTCCGGGACTCTGGCAGGTAAACACCGAGGAAGTAGATGGGGATTCCTGAGAGGGCGATCCCAATGCCAATGAGGGAATTGATGGTGTCACCAAAGAGGGGCACAATCACCAGAAACAAGGAGCATACGCAGAACACAATGGGAAAAAACAGGCTCAGCTGAAATGAAGGGAGATGATATATTAGGTAAAGTGGGATGGGACAGGTTATGGGGAAGAAGCCACCTTGGGGAGAGGGCCCATCCTTCCTAGTCTGCCCAGAGCCACTGACCTTGAGAGGCCGAGGCCACTCTGGCTCCTTCCAGCGAAGGTAGAGCTGTCCAGCAACAGACAGGCCCACAAAGAACCAGTAGCTGAAGCTGAAGTAGTTGATGAGTAGGAAAACATCCTCCACAATGAGATAGATGAGTGACATTGTGCACTAGATGGGGAGGGAGGGAGCAGGAGAGGGCAGTGTCACCATCAGGGACCCCATGAGACTTTACCACTCAGTAGTCAACACCAGATCTGCTAACTGCTGATCTAGCTTCACCAGATTACATCCGGTTCTTCACATTAACCTTCAAAGTGACATTTCTCCCTCTTCTGTTGGAGGCCTTTCCTCCACTCGATGCCTCTCTTCTTTTTGCAAACACTTCAGTATCAAGCCCGATTCCTTTCCGATTCTGAAGGCAGACAATAAAGCCCTCCTCACTTCAACCCACCAACCTCAACATGAATCACAAGGTGCCCTCCAGACCTTTACACATGGGCCCTAATTACCTGGCATACAAATATGACAAATGCATCAGAACCATCTCTCTTGTCCTGGCACCTTAGAAATGCAGATTTGCACCCTGGTTAGTTGGGTGTCGTCCCATGCCCCAAAATGTCGGCTCAACTGCCGGTCAGGGCACATGCCCAGATTTCAGACTCAATCCCTGGTGGGTGTGCACACAGGTGGCAGCTGATCGATATTCTGTTCTCACATTGATGTTTTTCTCTCTCTCTCCCTCTCCATTCCTCTCTCTCTAAAAATCAATAAAACACTTAAAAAAAAATTCCAAGAGGAAAATACCCTGTTTTCAGATATTCAGTATAAAGCTAAATAATAAAGCTTAGTGCTGATAGGGTGGATTAGTTAAGATGATGATACATTTAAGGGGCATATCATTATACCTGGCATATATAAAGCACACTAAAAAATTGGCTATTATTTTTATATGATAAAAATTTGAAAAATAGATTATTCAATAAGTGATATTGGCATAGCTGGCTATTTCAGAAAAAAATTAAGTGAATCTCCACTTCACTCCATACATCAAAATATAAATACCAGATGAATCCAAAATTTAAACAATGTATTTAAGACCTAGTAACAAGAAATATAAACTGTTTTTCAAATCTTGGAGTAAGGCTTTTTTTTTTTAAAGAATAGTTTATTGCCCTGGCCAGGTTTGCTCAGTGGTTAGAGCATCGGCCCACGGACCAATGAGTCACGGCTTTGATTCCGGTCAAGGGCATGTACCTCGGTTGCGATTCATCCCCAGCCCTGGCTGGGGTCATGCAGGAGGCAGTCACTCGATGTGTCCCTTTCATGTCGATGTTTCTTTCTCTCTCTCTTTTCCTCTCTCGCCCTCCCACTCTATCTGAACAAAAGTGGAAAAAGTGTCCTCGAGTAAGGATGGAAAAAAAAAAGTTTATTTATTTCTTTTTATTTTTCTTTATTGATTTTTAGAGAGAGGAAGGAAGAGGGAGAGAGAAACATCGATGAGAGAGAACATCAATTGGCTGCCTCCTGCATGCCCCCCACTGGGGATTTGGTCTACAACGTGGGCATGTGCCCTGCCTGGGAATCAAACCAGCAACCTCTTGGTGCATGGGTCGATGCTCAACCACTGAGCCACAAGTTTATTGATTTTTAGAGAGGAAGGGACAGAGAAAAAGAAACATCAATGTTAGAGCACTGCATTGATCAGCTGCTTCCTGCATGGCCCCTACATGCATGTACCCTTGACCAGGAATTGAACCAGCAACCTTTTGGTGCACCAGACAAAGCCCAACCAACTGAACCACACCAGCCAGGGCAGAGTAAGGCCTTTCTTTCTCAGGGTCCTGTCAGCTTTTATTTATATAATACCTTACTGCAAATTAGAAAGTGGTGGTTCCTTCTTCAGGACTTTCCATCTGTCAGAAATTTTTCATAATTTACTAATTCTGTTAGAATGAAACACTTTACTGCCATCTACTATATATGAATCTATGATGTCTATAACATAAATAGAAGCCCTTAGGGTAATTGATGTACAATTGGTCTGGCTTCTTTTCTAAATATAATTAAAAAAAAGAAAATTTTACAGCCCTGGCCAGTGAAGTTCAGTGGTTAGAGCATCGGAGGGTCATGAGTTTGATTCCCAGTCAAGGGCATGTGCCCTGGCCGGTTCGGCTCAGCAGTTGGAGTGTCGGCCTGCGGACCAGAGAGCCCCGGGTTCGGTTCCCGCTAGGGACACGTACCAAAAAAAAAACAGGGCACGTACCTGGGTTGCAAGTTCGATTCCCAGCCCGTCGGGGCTCGTGCCAGAGGCAACCAGTTGATGTGTCTCACATCGATGTCTCTCTCTCTCTCTCTCTCCCCATCCCCCTTACCCCTTACCCTTCCACTCTCTTTTAAAAAAATCAATGGAAAAAAATATCCTCAGGTCCGGCCAGTGTGGTTCAGAGGTTGAGCGTCAACCCATGCACTAAGAGGTCCCTGGTTTGATTTCCGGTCAGGACACATGCCCAGGTTGTGGGCCCGATCCCCAGTGGGGAACATGCAGGAGGCGACCAATCAATGTTCTCTCTCATCGATGTTTCTATCTCTCTCTCTGTCTCACTTCCTCTCTCTCTAATCAATAAAGGAAAAATTTTTTTTAAAAAAACTTAAAAAATATATATCCTCGGGTGAGGATTAACAACAAAAAAAAGTATTGATTTCATCAATCGGCTGCCTCTTGCATGTGCCCCAGACAAGGATTGAACCTCCAACCCAGGCATGTGCCCTGACAGGAATCGAATCTGCGATCTTCCAGTGCAATGGACGATACCCAACCAACTGAGCCACACCAACCAGAGCTCTAAATATGAGTTAATAATAATTTTTTTAAAGGAGGAGCTGGAAGAAAGAGAAGAAGCCAATGACATAAAAGATAGAGAAATCTCATATAAATTCATTTTAATATTCTTTTATAGCATTTGCCTTCTCTAATATGACTATGTTTTACATTTATATTTTTAAATAATTTTAAGGAAAAAAAAGAAACACTGAGAGGTTTAGGAAGTAGCTCAAGAAATCTAGTATACCTCCCACCCAACAGTCTTCTCATAAAGTCAGCAGGAATAGTACGGAGATATACTCAGTGCCCACACTCCCTCAGCAGAGCTTACATTGAACAATAAAGCAGGGACAGGTGTAAAACGCTCAATGTGGATCATGGACAGAAGGTCTGGGAGGTGGCCCTCACGGGAGCCCACAAAAAACAACCTGGAGGGACAAGAAATGTGTCAGTAGGATGCTTTTACTCAGCCATGCAGCCACACTCCTCACTCAGCTAAAACTAAGCTCAGAGCTCCAGAATAAAGCTGGGGACAGTCTCTCAGGAGCATCACATGTTCTCTACGCATGCCCAATCCAACTTACTCCCTTTACCCAGATGTCTCCACGCTCTTCAACCTGGGCACCTTACCATTATCCATAAATGCCCTACCCCAATGTTACCCAGACACCACCATTACCCTCAGACACCCCCACTTCTCTCAGTCACAGATACCCCACCATCACCCAATGGAGGACTCTCCCTGCCATCACCCACTGGCACCTCAATCCATCCCACCAGAGGTATCCTCACTCTGCCATGGCTTTAAAAAAAAAAAAAAGTAAGTAGCCCTGGCCAGTTTGGCTCAGCGGTTAGAGTGTTGGCCTGTGGACTGTAGAGTCCTGGGTTTGGTTCCCCCTAAGGGCACATACCTCAGTTGCAGTTTGTTCCCGGCCCTGGTTGGGGTTGTGTGGGTGGCAACCACTCGATGTGTCTCTCTCATGTCAATGTTTCTCTCTCTCTCTTCCTCCCTCTCTCTCTCCCACTCTATCTGAAGATAAATGAAAAAATGTCCTTGGGTGAGGATAAAAATTAAAATAAAATAAATTTGCCAGACTTCTGTTGTGTCTTCATATATATCTTCTCTGAGCTCTTGACATGTGATAGGCCAGGGAAAACCTGAAGCTCAAAGAGACAACCTAAGCTTCCTCTCTACACCTACAGAGCCCTACTGACAGGGAAACAGAGCAGCAGAGAAATGAACGCCACCCAGGAGTCAGCATCATCATGAAGTACACTAGGCTTCAGAGTAGGCTTGGGGAACAAAAAGCTTCATAAAGGATGACGACATCTGGGCTGGGAAGAAGAGCTAAAGTTTGCCAGAAGGTGTGTGGGTAGGTGGGTGGGGAAACAGCATGGGCAAAGGCAAAAGAGGCTTGAAGGCTGAACAGTGTGGCCTCTTTGAAGGTTGGTGCTAGAATGCTTATAGTCCCAGAATAAGGTGTGTGAGGAGTATGCTGGGAGGAACTGGAGTGAGGCCATGCTGTGAAGTCTGAACAAGCATGAGAGCAAGCTATGGCTCTGAAGTAAGGGCCTGGTAGGATATGATACAGAGACTCTGGTAGCATCATGGAGGTGACTGGAACAGGGAGAGACTAGGGTATGGACAGAAGGCCAGACAAGATCATCCATGACAACTGTCCCATAAGAGAGGAGGCCTGAATGAGGGTTGATGCCCTGGCTGAGGTGAGAACAGGACAGATGTGATAACCTCAATCAACTCTAGTGATCTTGTGTGTGTATATGCACCACGCACCCAGGCACGTGCACACACTGGAAGAAGAGGGTGGACCCCAAGGGTAAAATGAAGAAGCAAGGAGGTACTCACTTCGGCAGCATATACACTAAAATTGGAACGATACATCCCCTGCACAAGGATGACACACAAATTCATGAAACGTTCCATATTTATTTTTTTCTTTATTGATTTTTGAGAGAGAGGAAGGGAGAGGAAGAGAGATAGAAACATTGATGAGAGAGAGCATTGATTGGCCCCCTCCTGCCTGCCCCCTGCTAGGGACTGGGCCCACAACCTGGGCATGTGCCCTGACTGGGAATCGAACCAGCAGCCTCTTGGTACATGGGTCAATGCTCAACCACTGAGCCACACCAGCCGGTAAGCATTCGATATTAAGAAAAAAAAAGCCCTGGACAGTTTTGCTCAGTGGTTGGAGCGTCAGCCTGCGATCCAGAGAGACCCGGGTTCGGTTCCCGCTAAGGGCATGTACCTCGGTTGCAGTTTGTCCCCGGCCCTGGTTGGTTGTGCGGGTGGCAGCCACTCGATGTGTCCCTTTCACATCGATGTTTCTCTCTCTCTCTCTCCCCCTCTCTCTCCCTCCCACTCTATCTGAACAAAAAATGGAAAAATGTCCTCGGGTGAGGATTAAAAAAAAAAAAATGTCCTGGCCAGTTTGGCTCAGCAGTCAGAGCATCAGCCCACAGACTGATCAATCGCAGGTTCAATTCCAGTCAAGGGCACGTACCTCAGTTGCAGTTCGTCCTCAGCCCTGGTCGGGGTCATGCGGGAGGCAACAAATCGATGTGTCTCACATCCATGTTTCTTTCTCTCTCTCTCTCTCTCTGTCTCTCTCTCTCTCTCTCTCTGTCTCTCTCTCTCTCTGTCTCTCTCTCTCTTTCTCTCTCTGTCTCTCTCATGTTTCTCTTTCTCTCTCTCTCTCTCTCTCTCTCTCTCTCTCTCTCTCTCTCTCTTTCCTCCCTACCCCTCTTCCACTCTTTCTGTGAAATCAATGGAAAAAATTTCCATGAGTGAGGATTAACAAAAAAAAAAAACTAGTAAGAAGAAAGAAAAGGACAAAACTTTCTATCCTATCTGTTCATGTGGCAAATCTTTATGCAGTGCCTATTACACTCCTGGCCTTGGGGATAGCAACATTTATAGAGTGAGAAATCAAGAAAAGAAAACTTCGTAGCTACCAGAGTATCACAGAAACTGCAGGAATCATTTCAGAAGTACTGTAAAAGGCCGTTAATGTCACTTGCTTCGTGGGTCCAGTAGAATAAGGACTAGTAGAAGCAGGTTCAGGAGGTCACTGATACCCTTAATAAGAACATTTTTTAGGTAATAGAAGCCAAAGTGTAATGTGTAGAAAAATGAATGACAGCTGAAATGCAAACTATTCCCTCAAGAAATGTGTCCAGTAAGGAATAGGGGAGATGGGAAAAGCTATTTTGTGACTTCTGTATATGTAAATGAAAGGAACTTCTGCAGAGATGGCTCCAACTGAACATCCACCAAAGAGAAGAGCCAACTGATGAAATGAAGTGCTGAAGCAGGGAAGTGTGTAACCTTGACACCAGCTAGCAGAATCAGCTTGGCAAGGCTCCTTTCTCAGAAACAAAAGAAAGGACAGTCTCTGCACAGAGAGGAGAGCAGGAGCTTACCTGTCAGCCTCAGAGTTTTCTGTGAAGTGAGGGGCAGAATCATTCTGTACCAGTACCTGGTACACAGCAAGTGCTCAAAAATCATTCACTGAAGGAATGAATCCTGGGGCTGTATGATACATAACCCACAAGGAGCCTAGAATCTGGTCCCTGACTCCAAGCTATTACCTTCTTTTCTTCCACCTCCTACCAATCCATCCTTGCCTCAGATGGAAACATGAGCCACCAGGCCCTGGCCAGGTAGCTCAGTTGGTTAGAGCATCATCCCGATATGCCAAGGTTGTCAGTTCAATCCCCGGTCAGGGCACATACAAGAATCAACCAATGAATAAATAAATAAGCGGAACAACAAATCAATGTCTCTGTCTCTCTGTCTCAATAAATAAAAATTTTAAAAAAGGAAAAAGAAACATAAGCTACACAAATATTTGCACAAAGGCAGGCAGATGCATGCACAGAGATGCATGCATACACACGTGTACCCAAACACACACACACACACACACACACACACACACACACACCTGTATTTCCAAGAGAGGGAAAAGGAAAAAGAAGAGCTCTTATGGGCTCACCTAAAGCCTCAGAGAATCATGGAATCTGTTATCAGTGAAGCAGAGACACAGTACCTTGATGAAGCAAGGATAGACGCATTGAGGCCCCCAAAGCAGGACAAGGCAACAGCAATGGGAATGGTCCAGCTGAACACGCCAAATGTCTGGTCAGCAAATGTCTGGAGGCAGAACACAGAGGCACACTCAGCATAAGATAGGGTTTCATAAGCTTCCTGCATCTAGGCTGTTGGGACAAACAAAGTCACGGCTGAGCATCCCACCCTCTAGTCTAGACCCATCACCTGCAGAGCTAGATGGGTAGAGAAAAATTGAGCCATTCAGTATCATAAGATGACAAGCAAATGGGGATCCCAAAAGACTCACCACAGCCACAGCATCACTGCCAAGGACATCTGAAATACTCAGCACTGTGTAGTAAGCCACGTTGGTCAGAATGTAGATGAGCGTCACAATTGGCAGAGAAATCCCAATGGCCAAGGGCAAATTTCTGTCAAGACAAGTGAGACAGGATTATCTGGAACCAACCTCTCCTTGGGGTCGAAGTTCACTCAGGGATTTTTCTGACATTTAACAGTTCCCTGGCCTCTGGGTCTTTGAGGCATCTCTTCCCCAAGTGGCCTAGGGTGGGTATGTACCCCATTCCCCTGGGGGAGGGAGGGAGCGAGGGAGAGGGAAGGGGAAGAGAGAGAGAGAGAGACCCTTCTCTGTGAAGATAGTTCATAATCAATATTTGATGCTCACTACACTAGGACCAGTGGGTCCCACTGAAGAAGGAATAATGTCCTCTAGGGGCTAGAGGCTGGGCTGAGGACCTGGCTGCCCAGAATAAACTTCTGGCTCCCCAGGCCTCATTGTCAGTACTACCATGCAAAGTCCTAACACCTTAGCTCCAGCTAGGTCTGCTGCTGCCCACTGAAGGACCTCTCCTACATATGGGAAGGACCCTGGTATCTTCTAATATGAACATTAGGGCGAAGAACCAATGGACTTCCCACCTTCACTCATTCCCATTCTAACCCCTAATCTCTGCAAGCTGGAGAAGGAGTAGGGAGAGATGAGAGACAGAGGACAAGGGGAGGGAAGGGGGAGAGCTTGCCCTCTACCAGCAGGACTTCCAGCCACGTTGGGGAGTGAGAGCTGGGGAGTGAGAGCGTGAGCCCACTTTTACCTTTCTGGGTTTTTGATTTCTTCTGTTACAAAATTAAGGGTGTCCCAACCTGAGTAAGAGAAGAGGGCAGAGTAGAGGGCGAGAGAGAGGTTTCCCACGTCCCAGGAGGAACCCTCAAAGGCGTCCTGAAAGTGCTCAGAGTGTCCTGTGGGAGTAAAGGTCGGTAGGGGTTCAGGGAAAAGGAAGAGAAAGGAGAAGGGGGAGGAGAGATAGAAGGTATAAGGAGAAGGGAAGGATGGGGGGAGTAAAAAAAAAAAGGAAGAGAAGATGAAAAAAAGGAGAAAGGAGGAGGGTCAAGAAAAGGGGGGGTTAAAAAAAAAGAAAGAAGGGAAAAGCAAGAGGGAAGGGGAGAAGAAAAAAAAACATTATTTAACACCAAAAAACTAACAACCACCAGCTCCCTATACTTACCACTATCCCCACTCCCTCAGGAAGTTCCTATTCCTTTGGTAAAACTAGACAATCTCAGATAAAGAAAAGTACTCCTAGCTGCCTGTAATGTGACACCTGTTCCAAAGCCCTAGTGAATTTCCATTTCCAGCAAGTAACCTCACAGTAGGCCACAGCTCTTCCTATTTTTAGAAAGCACCCTGTTTATCATAAAGGAGTAATTTTTCGCTAACAGTCAGACCTTCCTATAGAACTACATTTCTTTGTCCAGACTACTGCATGATTTGGTTAAATGGGTTTCTCAGTTTCATGAAGAGAAAACTGTTGCTCTACTTGTAGTGGCCACAGTTGCGTGGGGCAGGAAATTACAGGGTTAGTAGGAACTGGGGTCTTATTTCTCACTAGGCCTGGGGTAGATCTGAGTCACCTCCACCTTTGAAGAGCCAGCCTAGGCATTTGTCATTCTCCTTGGAGGCCTCCAGAAACTACAGACTTGAAAGCCCAGAATGGGGCACTGAGCTGCCCAGTAGAGAGACTTTCTGGACACACTGCAGGTTTTTAACAAGACCCAGACTTCTAAGGAAGCCTGCTGTCACACCCTGCAGAAAGCCTAGACCCATACCTCAAAGTGGCAAAAAGGGCTGGGTGTACAGCAAGAGAACAAAAATAGTAATGCCCACACCTCAGAGGTGTCAGTCAGCACACACAGCAGGGGTTCTCTAAGGTACAAATGGGGGGGGGGGGGATTACTCAACTATCCAATTTGATCCCAAGATGTTTCTGAGACTCCAGGGACATCCATATGGCTGGCTGTACTAACTTGGCACATGTGCAGAGGTTCTAGACCAGCTGCTTAAGAATCACACTGGGCACTTCTTTAAAATACACCTTTTTCAACTCCAAACCAACCAGAATTTGACCCCATAGGTCTGAGATGGGGCGGGCTCAGTGCCCCCAGGTAACTGTAAACATAGCCAAGTTTAGAGATAGATAATCTAGAGAACTGGTTGTTAAATGACTAAGGTATCCTGGGCCTGAGGACTCAGAAGATCTTGGAAGACCTATTAACCCTCACTGCCAGTTTGCTCTGATCCAGGAATTAAAAAGCTTTCTAAAGCCACCCTGCAGAAAAGTCAGTACCAACTTCACAATATTTTAATATTTTTCTGACAGCTGACTTTGGGAGGGAATGCTGAATAAGAACAAGTCCAGATGAAATAACCACTCATTTCCACAACCCATCTCCCCTGCGCACACACACACACACACACACACACGACACCCTCTTCCACCCCTCTCAAGGAGGGCCAAGTCTTCCTACTCGCTGCCTCTCAGTACAGAACAAAAATAGGAGCCAGAACAGGGTTCACTGTATCTCTGCTGTTTACTTTTATGACCCAATTACAACCCAAGTTTCAAGAGCTCCTAGGCCCTCAGCTGGTTTCTTGCAGTATTCCTAGTCTCCTTAAAGGGAAAGCAACCCTGAGGGAGGGGCTGACTCATGTCCATTTGGCCAAGCCAGCCTAGCCCAAGAGGCCCAGGAACAGATCTCTTGTTCTCACTGACACAGTCTAGCATGTACAAAAAGCTGGACAGTAAAGCTAACAGAATCCCCATGTCCTCCTAAGGGAATCTAGGGAAACTCCTGGAGTCCTCTACCCTCCTTCCCACCTCAGGCCCTTCTTACCCTGGCACAGTTTAACAAGGCCCATGACAATGATGGCAATGAGCGCTAGGACCTTAGCGTAAGTGAACGTATCCTGTACACGTGTGCCCCACTTGACATAGGCACAGTTCACAAATGTCAGCAGACCTAGAAGAAAAACCATAGAGTCACTGGCAGGCTTGAGTTGAGGGTATAGAGGCCCAACTTTCTTTATAGAGTATATCACTTCTGCCCTATCTGCCTAAGGCAAAGGGGCCAATGGACCAGTCAGAACCAGAACAGGTAAATAGAGAGACATTTCCCATATGCCCCAGCTGAGAGCTCCCATGAATGTCCCACCACTGTTGACAAGTAAAGATACAAAGGTCTATGCACTAACACATATTCATAAGTTCTGACAACGAGAACCACTTTTGGAAATTCCTCCCAGGCTCAGGAATGGTGGAGGATACCCACTCTTCTCCACTCAGACTCCCAAAGCACAAGACCTATCCATGGCTCCATTAGAGAGTAGAGAGAGAAAAGAGAGGCCCGTTAATAAATGAAGTGATTTTGAATATAGGTGGCAGGTCACCTAGGAATTAAAGAGACAATGTTTTGTATGTAAATGTTTTTAAAAAGCCTGCCATGTGCCTAACAATTTCACGTAATTCCTGTCAATTAATTCTCACAACCCTAAAATATAGACATTCCTATTCACATTTTATAGATGAGAAAACTGAAGCCGAGAAAGGCTAACTATCATTCCCAAGCTCACATGGACCCCACGGATCTCTCCCACTCCCATTTCTATCCAAACCCCCCAATTCTTGGTGAGGTCCATGGAGGAGTGAGCTCACTTAGGCATCCCCTAAGTTCCTGTCAGCACTGCTGGCTTTACATTCCAGTTCCTCACACACCTCAGTGATATCTGAGCCCTGTATTGAGGATCCCAGCACCTTACCCCTGCTAAACAGGGATGGCTGTGATCCATAGGGAAGACACAAGAACAGATAACAAGGGGTTCCACAGTGACACCTCTTATTACTGCCGCTAGCCTCCAAAAATAGAGCTTTAATGTGAACCTCAAATGGTATTACAAAATATTTAGGCTCATTCTCCAGACCACCTCTACTATTCCTACCTATTCTGCACTCTCTACTTCAGCCAAACTCTCTCTTTACTGGTGCCAGACACACATGAAAAAGAAATGCCCTCTTCTCTTCCTCCTGACACAGACAACAGCAACTCCCAATTTCAAGGTCTAGCTCTATCCCCACTTCCTCTGTAAAATCTTCCCCAAACATACCAGTCACTCACTGACCACTCTCTCCTTACTCTACAGCATTCCCACTTCATAGCACAGTTTAGTGTCTCATGCTATGGTCATGTGAACATCTGTCTCAAGATGTTTTTGGATATTTGGACAGTGCTTCTCCAAGATCATAAATTCTTAGGGAGAAACAAAAGCATTCTATTTTTTTAAGCTTATTGCCAAGCAAAGAGGGGAAATGGTGAATCCTGATTAGAATCAAGATGGTGATGACTTTCACTTAACCAGTCACTCACTGACCACTCTCTCCTTACTCTACAGCATTCCCACTTCATAGCACAGTTTAGTGTCTCATGCTATGGTCATGTGAACATCTGTCTCAAGATGTTTTTGGATATTTGGACAGTGCTTCTCCAAGATCATAAATTCTTAGGGAGAAACAAAAGCATTCTATTTTTTTAAGCTTATTGCCAAGCAAAGAGGGGAAATGGTGAATCCTGATTAGAATCAAGATGGTGATGACTTTCACTTAACCATGAATTCCCTGGAACAAGGCAATTGTCAGAAACTTGGACATTCCTCTGCTCAATGGAGAGGAAAGGCTAGGGCCAGCCTGTGGAAATAAAATATGGGTAGCTGAACAGCCTTGGAGACACTTGAAGAGCTTTTACTCAGTACTCTGTCAAAGATACTGGTGCTTACTAGTCAGTCATATGTGGTGAAGGTTGGGGGGCCGGGGCAATGGTCAAGGGGAAGAGGAGAAGACCAAAGGAATGCATGCTGCTGGTAGGTCTTCTCAGGAACCTACCCTGCTAATCAAAGTTTTCTGTGTGGGGCTAAGCCTAGATCAACTAACATAAGGATTACCTAGTTAATAGCCACCAATAATCCACAGACCCCTGTGCAATACAGTAAGCGTATTTTGAGGTACCTGCCTACCTGCCAGGCCCCTTCTTGAGATTTGCTTCCCCTCCGCTATTGTGCCTAATCAAGCCAGACACTGGGCCCAAGCTGAGCCTCTTGGATCATCTTTCCCAGGAACATGAAGTCCACATACCAAGAGACTGAATCTATCTAATAGCAGCAGTCAGGGCCACAGCAAGTCAAAGTCACACACAAACCCTTGTACTAAAGGAAGAAAAACCACAGTAAAGCAGAGGAAGGAAGCAGAACTACAGAAAGAAGAAGTAAGATGGTGTACAGCTTGTGAGAAAAAGACAGACAAAGACACAGAAATACACAGAAGACAGAGACAAAGAAGAGAGAGAGATAAGACAAAAACAAGGAGACAGGGACAGAGAGAGGGACAAAAATAGAGAGAAAGCTGGGCATACACATGAAGAGACTGTTTCATATCATCCAGGCTATGCTCACTGTGCTCCTGGCTTGAGGCACCAAGATGCAACTGCAAGATAGTAAGAGAAGCTAATATTCTCCTTAGCCACACGAACAGGCACTCCCTCTCACTTCTACTCCATTCTCCTTCCCTCTGCCCTGCTACAAACTTCCACCATGGCTGATTCCTCTCTGCACATAGTGGGAATTTAATGACAGTGCTGAAGGAATGAGTGAAGGCAGTGCCTCATAGAAGTCCCTGCAGAGCACCTTCTGTATCTTGTTGTTGTTGTTGTTTTTTTTGTATTTATCTTGAGATAGAGCAGGAGGGAGAAAGGGAGGAAGAGAGAAAGAGAGAGAAACATCGACGTGAAAGGGACACATCAAGTGGCTGCCTCCTACACGGAGCCGGTACAAACTGCAACCGCGGTATGTGCCCTTAGCGGGAACTGAACCCGGGTCTCTCTGGACCACAGGTCGACACTCTAACCGCTGAGCCAAACCGGCCAGGGCCAGAGCACCTTCTGCAAGACCAGCTGGAAGGGTACAAAAGAGCCTGATTGCTGTGGCTGCCTCTGGGGAGGAAGATTAATGCTTGGAGAGGAAGGGAGACTTTTTCCATTATATATACTTTTATACTTTGACTTATTTACCATGTATATATGCTTTTTTCTCAAAAAAAAATAAAAATATTTAATTAACAACATGCTGCCAGCCAGGGAGCAGAGCCAGAAATAGAGTGAGGTGAGTAAGGCACCTAGGGCACCAAAGTTAAGGAGGCATTCACTGTCAGAGGGCCACTTGGCAAACCATCCTTAAATGCTGGCCCCAGGCACCTTGCTTGCTTCAGCCAACTCTCAGCCCTGCCAGAGAACAGACAGCTCTGAAAACAGTCTACCAAGCAGCAGTCAAGTCCTCTGAATATTTTCTTGATTCTAATTAAGAAGTAAAATTTTCCCATTTGATGATCCTCACCCTTCCATGTGTTGTAGCTCACTGTCCTTAGAATCCAACTTGTCTTTAAGCTGCCCTAATTAACAACATCAGAGACAGCAAGATGAACAATGGGGAATGTTATAGAGGGCTTTAGCCCCATAAAAATTAACTAGAGTTTGACCTTCACTGGGAATTTGAAAAGCAACATCCTTCAAGAAAAGGGAGGACACAAACGGCCCCAAGGCCAGAGTGTCCTGCATGCTCTGTAAAGAAACTGATAGGGAGAAACTGAAGCTCCCTTTACCCCATAAAACTGTAACTGTTCAACATGTGTGTATTGCACCTGACTGACCGCTGATATCTGTCTCGAATTTGTTAGTTTTTAAAACTTGGATAATGGAATGAATAGCAGGACAGATGTATGCTGACCCAGTTCCCTTTCGCCTCAGCTCCCTCCCCCCTCCGTTCCCTCCTGCTTATCACTAACTGCCTCCGCTTCTGTACAAGCAGCTTGCTTGCTCTGCTAAACTCTTGAATGACCCCTGCCCTATATAAGCAACCCTCCCCCTGAGCTCGGGGCTGCAGTTCTCCTCTGTGTAGGTTGGCTGCAGTCCCTGCGCAGGTAATAAAACATCCCCAAAAACTGAAAAATGGAGTCTGAGTGTGGTCGATCTCCTGGGTTACAACATTTGGAGACCCCAGCGAGATCAGCCGCGAGGTCCCCCTTTTCCGTGGGGTCGACCTCCTCAGACTACGCGGAGGGCTGCCTCCTCGCCCTCCGCACCTACATTCGTTCTGGCTTTGATTCAGCTAATTTGGACTAAGACTTCAGCCTCGAGGATCTGGGTAAGGGATTTCCCCTTCCATCTGTTTTCTGTTCGGTAGCTCCGGAGCGTTCTGGGATTGTTGCGGGCGGGACGCCGCTGAACCGCACTTCCCCCTCAGGGTCGAGACGCCGACTCCTGACCTGGGAAACCCGGTGGGTTTCCATCTGTTCTGAAATTGGTACCAATCTGTTTTAATCTGGCACTTTCAGGTGCGTCTGGCACTTTCGGGTGCATCTGGCACTTTCGGGTGCAGGAGACCCGGTGGGTTTCCATCTGGCACTTTCGGGTGCGTCTGGCACTTTCGGGTGCAGGAGACCCGGTGGGTTTCCATCTGGCACTTTCGGGTGCGTCTGGCACTTTCGGGTGCAGGAGACCCGGTGGGTTTCCATCTGGCACTTTCGGGTGCATCTGGCACTTTCGGGTGCAGGAAACCCGGTGGTTTCCATCTGGCACTTTCGGGTGCGTCTGGCACTTTCGGATGCAGGAGACCCGGTGGGTTTCCATCTGGCACTTTCGGGTGCATCTGGCACTTTCGGGTGCAGGAAACCCGGTGGTTTCCATCTGGCACTTTCGGGTGCGTCTGGCACTTTCGGGTGCAGGAGACCCGGTGGGTTTCCATCTGGCACTTTCGGGTGCGTCTGGCACTTTCGGGTGCAGGAGACCCGGTGGGTTTCCATCTGGCACTTTCGGGTGCGTCTGGCACTTTCGGGTGCAGGAGACCCGGTGGGTTTCCATCTGGCACTTTCGGATGCGTCTGGCACTTTCGGGTGCAGGAGACCCGGTGGGTTTCCATCTGG